TCCAAAGCACTTCTCAGCTTTTTAATGAAGCAATTTCTTTCTACTTTAAGGCAAGAAAAGTTTCAGAAAAAACATTATTTCTAACTCCAGTGAAAGTTACTTATTTAAATACAGCCTGTTTATTTCAAGTTGGAAGATGGCAGACATTACATGAAGTATATGTTCTAACTGTCTAAATGCTGCCTCTTAAGCAGATTCATTTCCAACAGATAACAGTAAAAGTGGTTCCTAGTGCCATGTTATTGCTGAGTTTCTCACTTACTATCTTAAAGTTTTATTTTCCAGTATTAATCCTCTCTTTGGCCTTCACTGCCTTTCCTATTAGCATGCATGAACAACTGGTGTAAACAGCTTAGGAAACTGAACAAAATACATGTCAACACTACTAAATTCAGAACAAAAGACACCTGAAAAGAATGTTTATCATTTAGTCACACAGCTGCATTAATGGTCAGCTTAGATATGTACTAACAAGGTTAACATTGAATATAAGTAGAATTTCTTAAGCTTACAAATACACTTAAATATTGCTAAAAGTTTTGCACTGTTGTCTTTTAGCACTTTTAGGAAACTTCTATAGACATCCTTAATTCATGATTTTTTGTTTCCCTAACATAGAATTTCTCTGAAAAGTTTCCCTGTCCCATTGCTCATAAATATATTGTTGTATGGAAATGAGAATTGCATTAGACTTAGATAAAATGAGATCCTGTAAATACTACATAAAAAACAGATGAATTAGTTTTTGAACAATATTTTAGGGATTGGAGGTTGTAGAGAAACCACACACAGAAACCTTCTCCGAGACAGATCAGGGCAAAGTGACTTTCAGTAAAAAATACTCGACTGGGCAACACCTGTCAAAAGACAGCTCTCCTAAAAATGTAATATGGGACAAGAAAAGTTTTGAAAATTCATTCAATTCTAAACAAATTCTCATTAAAGCCTTTTTTTTTTCTACTTAATTAAAAAGAAGGGGACTAAGCATGAAATTCAATGCTGTTTACTACTTACAGTTCTGTCGGTTGGGCAATATTAGAGACAGAAACTGTTTTTTTTTTTTATTTCCTTGGTGCTGTGAAGTTCACATTGCAAAGTCCACAGAGGAAAAGTTACTTAAAAATAAACTTAACCTCATACTAAAACAGCAAGAACATTTCTATTAAAAAGAAGTTTTGAACAAAAATTAGAGTTTTCTGACAAATCCAGGCAAAAAGGAAAAAGTTGGGTTTGTGCGTGTATGTATGTATGTGTGCATGCAGGTGTGTGCACATGTGTGTATCTTTCCCCATTTACCTGCTTAATTTTAGAAAAGAAACTAACCCATCTTATATTGCCAAAAAGTGCCCTAAGTGAAGACATTTTGTGCGTACACAAGCTCTCTGTTTAGCAAATGAATTCATAAGCCTTTTTCTTCTCTCTGGTGATTCTGAGTTGCTTTGTAGACCAACTTCCCTCCTCACAGTTTTGTATGAGGAAGACTTAGCCAGACCAAAAAGAAGATAAGTAGGAAAAAATTAAATTCTTTCCTATAACAAAAAGGCTTGATGCTAGCTGGACAATTTCTACCTATTGCAAACCATTTGTGTCATATACTGAAGATGCTGTGGAGAGCAAATGACTTCATAAATCTCTTAGAGTGATTGTATCTTAATTTATTTTTTACGTAAACAGTTGCTTAAACTTCCATTTCAATTCTTTCCCTTTACTATCACAGGTCATTTGAAAAAAGCAGTGGCATTTCTGAGGAGGGTCTTTTGGAAGCCATTTTACTTATAGCAGATGGCAAAACTACTAGAAGATCTCCCCTAAGCACATGGCAGAGTTATCCCTTACCACTTCTTGGGAAAAGTACAAAGGCCTTTTGTTTCAATGCCAGGACAGGCATTCCTCCAGTTCACAAAATTTAATATAAATTCACAATATGTGGCAGCTGCTTTACCAGCTTCTGAACATATTTAGTCCAGGCATTAAATCAAGATGGTTACCAGCTAGAAATCCCTTCCCATAACATCTTTGACCAGCACAAGGGCTGAGGTGCTGAGTCTCTGCAGAATCACTGCATGAATCACCAGCTCCCAGTTAAGCATGGATGCAATCTCCCCTTTGAAGAAGCTGGGGAAGTGTGGTGGGAAATGGGAATGAGATATGGACAGGAATACTTATTTTCCTCGATCTCAAGCACATTGGACCTGTCTCCAGTTCCACTTGGTGATGTCAATCTACTAAGGTCACAGCAGTAAAAATGTATCTAGCTACACCAAACAATCCTAGGCATATTACTGAAAACACACTTTTTAAATGGATTTTGTGGATATACTGTGACTATTAAAAGATGCAAGGCCAGATTTTCTCACAAGAGAAGAATTGAGCTAAACTACTACCAACTATGAAGCATACTGCTAATATCATTTAAAAACCTTGCTGACACATTGAGTTGAATTAGAGTTCAGCATCACATTTTATGTATTAGCTGTGAGGTTTTGCAAGTGAACTGGATGGGCAAGGGCCTAAAACACATCTAGAGTCGAGATGGACAGTATGACACTGAGTGTTATGTTTAAAACAGGGGCCTTCCAGAAATAGGGAAACTTAACTCTGAATTTTAAGATCTAAACTACTGTATCATGACTAACAAAAAATACTCTTTACCTGGTGTTGTCATGATGAGGGTTAGAGGAAGTGGTAGCAGCTGACCCACCACGTAACACTGGCCTAGAGCAGGGTTTGTAGATAGAAAGCACGAGACAGAAACATGAAACAGACACAGAGAAGAGGTAAAACACACAGAACAAAGGAACATCAAAATATTTCCTACTTATATTGTATGTTTTTTCAATACAATACAATATCTATCTAACAAGTTTTAAGTTGTACTTTCATATTTCTCTAATTTAAATCAACACAAAGTGTATGCAGCTGTCTTAACATGTTGATGGTATAGCTTCATTTATGGAAGATTTGCTGTTGGAATAAGACTTTGGTGGGAGGGTATCAACCGTATAACCATGGGAAACTTCATATTTCCTTATAGCTTCCCCAAGATAACCCTCCCACCCAACAACTATGAAACAATGGAAAATAAATCCACATATACTTAAGAAAACCTTCTTAACTATCTTCTCTATCTTCTCTCATCCCACTAAAGAAAAGGGTGTTTTTAATGTTTCCTTTTTTCATCTGGGCTAGTAGCCTAAGGACCTTATGCAGTCACAAGAGAGGTAGATCTCTCCAAAAGTGACTAAAAGCTTAAAGTAGATCATATGACTATCCCTTTAAGTGTTGCTCTTTCAATCTTTTTGTTTCCTTTTTTTTTTCCTCACTGTCCAGAAAAAGAAAAAGAGGTTAGAACAGTTGAAGTTGCTACAACTATATAATATATCTCAATTTAGTGGGAAGAAGCTACTGTGTCCTGATTTTCCAACAAGCCAGGACTACAATGTTTTCAATACCTCTGGTAATGAGACACTACTTCTCTACATTTACTTCACAAAGAAAAAGAAAAGGAGAAATACAAAAGAAAAAGACAAAGAGAGAATCTAAGCTTTAATATCTTTAGACCAGGTATATGCAGAAAGCAGAGCCTTGGTATTCAGGTGGCTGGGAGAAAACTGTGGTCTAGCTTGGAAATGAACAGCCAACGTGCAAAAACATTATTACCAGTAGTTTCATTTGAAAGATTGGGATCTAGGAGCCTCTGTATGTATTGGGCACTTGTACTCATCTAACTAGCAAAATTTACGTGTTCCAGTTGCAGATCTATATGCATTCATGACATTAAAAATAAGTCCCATTGCATACTACAATGTTTTTCTGGCTAGTACACAAGATAAGTCAGTAAGGTGTTATTTTACAAAGGAAAAAAAAATCTTCAGAAACACAGAATAAATCACTATCTTACCCACAAAATCACACAGAAAATTGTCAAAAATTAAATTTACATTTTTAATCAGAAAAACAAATGCACCAGGTCTAAAGTTTTGTCCAACAGATGCTAGAACTAAACAGTTAAAAATATTCTAGCAAACAGCAACTCTGGAACAAACTGCAGAGCTTCTCTGCAAACATAAGCCATGTGTAACTGGCAGACAGGCCAACATCAGCATGCCAATATCCAGCATGCATCTTCCAAGCATGGTAACAGATCTTCTCATTACACGAAATACAAATGTTCTCTAGCATTCTAAAATCTTGAGTTTCTTGGTATTTTGTGGCAAACTTCAGGTTTTGCTGTAAAAATAATCAGCACTATTTTACACACTACCCTTCCCAAGAAAATCCACATGCTTGGAGGTAGCTGAGGACTACAGCACAGAAAGGGAGTTAGAGCTCTCAGGTTTCTAGCCAAAACAGGCACTTAATTTAATCTGAAGTCTTTCATCCCAATCACCCAAGTTGATTTAAGAAGCTACGTGTGGTTTCTTCCATTGCAGGTCACATTATTTCTTTTTGAGGTGGACTCAAAGGAGCCAGCAGAATACTGCCCTGACTTTCTCACCCTATTTATTTGCTTAGTTTCAGGGATTGATAAATAAATCTCTCTCATAGCTCAGTGACCCCCATAGATGAGGATGCCTTATCCTCCAAAATAGTGTTTTTTATTGTAAATATATAATACACTTTCACTTAACCCATTAAATAGAGAGCCTTCTTTAAAAGAAAAAATATGCCAAAAGGAGATTAAAAGGTTGAAGTTCCTGGCTACCTGTTTCAGTTACTATCTTAAACATTAAGCCACGGTCAGCAGAAGCCACCACTCTGAAAATCAGCCCTGCGCTCTTTCCCAGCAGACACAGTGGCAGCCTAGGACAGGAACGGAGCACGCACTAATGCAGGGAAACTGTGGGAAAACAGACGAGAATGAAATGGCCAAATGAACATGGTTTGTCTTCCTCTGTTTAAAACAGAGCATGCCACAGAAATACCGCAATGAAGATGCTACAAACACATATCTGAGAGGAAAGTAAGAGGTAGGGATCATCTGGGTGCAGCTGGTGCTGTTTGTGTGCACGGTGACCGCGGCCGGCACGCTGCCCTCGCTCAGCGGCGCAGAGCTGCGTCCGCCCCTCGCTGAGTGTTGAAGCATCTCTGGGAAATGCAGAAGGGCCCTAAGAACGGGTGTTGGGGCTCTGCGGAAGTGATCTGAAGGTGAATGGGCTAAAACAGCTCAGCTTGTCAAGTACAGAAAGGATTTGTGCAATAAGGAACCACAATAACAGCACAAAACTACCCGCCCTGCCTATCTCAGTGCAACGCCTCAGCAAAGCGCTGGGCCTCCTCACGCTGCTGGCTGACCTGACTTCCCTTTGAGCCCAAAGCACCCTGACCCAAAGGCACATGAAGCCCGCCGTCTACCTTCTCATTTCACACCCTGTTTTATGTCTGCAGCATTAAACTCTCTCAACATGAAGAATGATCAGTTCCTGAAATGCTACCAGATCCAGTGTGCTGAGCCTAACATTTCAGAAGGATAGTAGCTGTTTAGAAAGGGAGTGTTAAAGCTCCTATTCTTTCCTCTTAAACAAAAATGACATTGCTTTGTGGAAAGTTTTTGGTCCAAGTGGTGAAGTGGTCAAATAAATAAAATACAGGGAAAAAAAAAAACCCCACACTTTCATATATGAATAAAGCTATGTTAAGAACTGCACTTTAGTTAAGACATTTCTTAAATGCAGCTTTTTCTTTGCCTAGAGCATAAAAGAAGATTGGCCTTTAAAAGGCACCAACTTTGGCCCTGTATTCATTCTACAGAACATGAAACAGAACATTGGTTAGAATGAAAAAAATGAATTGACCTAGTCTCCTTGTCCAAGCTGAAGGAAGTGCAAAAGCAAACAGCATAAATAGTGATCATTAAACTGCTGCTCATTTGAATAGCCTGCAATGCTAGCGATGCTGACAAAACTGGAAGTAATTCATTATTTGCAGCAATACAATCAGCAACTGCCATTAGTACTTTTAGAAGACTTTTTTTTTTTTTGAGAAAAGCAAGCCATGAAACAAACATATTTCCAGTGACTAACAAATAGCAGGAACTTCTTCATTAAAAAAGTCTCTTCTAATAATAAAGATTTAAAAAGTTTAAAATAGATCAGATTTACTTTGAAATAGAAAACACATTACACAGAGCAAAAGAACAGTGCAGTGGTGCAGTGTCAAACAATTTAACATAAGCAATATTTTGCAACCATGCAAGTGGATCATCCAAATTTCACATTCCTATGCCAGTTGTAGAATGCAGTAGGTGTCTTAAGTACCCAGCCACAAAGAATACTCTTTGATCCTTTACTGAGAATTTCAAACTTTTTTTAAAAACAAGATCTATTCATAGGTAGATAGCAATCGTTTCCAGTTTATTCTAGGAAACTTGGTAAAGTTATTTCAAAAAACTCAAGCAAAACCAGAAAGAATAATGCTGCTTTCGAAGTGTTCAGAACTCTGGACATGTTTTTTGCTGTTTGAATTGTTTACACAGAAAAAAAAAGATTTCTGTTTTCCAGAATCCAAGAAAACACATCAAGAACATGCCTATAGGAAACCAGGAATAAAACCTGTTACTGCAGGAATAAAATCTTCACTGCAGACTGCAGTGAATTTTGAAGTTCAGAATTTCTACATTTAAGTTGGCAAAATGTACCTAATGATTGCTATTAAGCACAGACAGTAGAATTCCTCCATATTTGTAATCCTTAACATTAGAGTTATAAGTATATTTTACTTTTTAGTATGGCCAAAAAAGGTTATTACTATCCACCAAAATTTTGACAGCCACCAAAACCTTAACAGCTGCAGCCTCAAGTCTGGAGCTCTGCACAATTCAGAGATTGTAAAATGGAACGTTATATATTGCTGTGGCAACAAGCACGGTGAGCTGGACAAGGTGCCACTTTGAAAACTGACCACAAACACACAGACACTTTCACAAGATTGGCTTCATAGTGACATTTTTTACCAAAATAATTTGTGCTCAGCAAGCACTAGAGATAAGAACTGCACACAGCAAAAAAAAAAAAAAAAAAAAAAAAAAGCTTTTGGTAAATTAACCTTGCCATTATTGGTCTTTATAGATGCTCCTACAGCATTAAACAAGGCATTCTTGCAATGTTTAAAAGTGCCAAATTAAAACAGTCAAAGGATTCAGCAAGTGGGCAAAACTCCATTGAAGAGAGTGGAAATATTTTTATTACCACAAGGCTTGTTTATCCACCAAAATAGAGTTCTGGAGAGAGGAGCAACCGGCTCCTCAGGAAACATTATCTCCTTTCTTGTTCCCTAGTAAATAACCAGGAAAGTGATGGTCACCATTAGTCCCACAGCATCCAGAGGCAACTCGTCAGAATATAAAATGACACGGTCTAAAGTTTTGGCACATTTCCAAAAGCAGCATCTACTGTGTCTTGCTTAATATTCTACCCTGTATCTGTCCATCTTACTGATTTGTACCATTACCCACCACTAGAAAATGGTAGGCAAGGCTAATAAACCATCCTGTGCACAAACCTTGCAGTCACAAGTTAACACTTCTATTTTGATTTTTATTTCGAAGGAAATCAAAATAATGCTATATATGATTGGAATCCAGGATTACTGTGAAATGTGAATTTTGGATAATATAACTGCTTATGAATAGTGAAAGCAAAAGAAAGCAAAGCAAATAATTTCACCTCATTATTTAGTAAACAGAAACCACACTCCACTAAAAAGGAGGAAAAAAAAAAAAAAAAAAGAAAAAGGCAGCAAAAGTTGGCTTGAAAAGTGACAACCAATCACCTGCGATTTTCATCCAGCACATCCAAGACCTGCTGGTAAGCCCTACGAGTGGAAGACTGGATAAACGACAAAATGCCACGAGCAGAGTAAAGATTAGTCCCATCTTCAGGTAACATATTGGGAGGACAGACACGAGCCTGTTGCAGTGATGGTGTCACACTGTTCGTACAAGCATAGTAAATGAAGAGAGAAATACTGTGGTCAGATTTCAAATTCAGAAAAAGCTTTTTCAGATAGCCCCCATTCCAAAATTTGTATTGCTTGCTTTTAGTTTTACCTTTCTCCCACCATTATATAGCAACACTCCCAAATTCCAGTGGTACAAAGGATCATGAATTACATTTGTATATGCTCTTCAGGAACATACACACATCAGAATAATACAAGGGTGAGATTCCATCTGTTATACAGGATAATTTAGAAAATCCTTGCCCAGCTAAGTCTGTATTTGCAGAAGTCAGCAGTCAAGCCCTAATAAACACAAATGAGGTGTTTAGCAAGCCTAGGCTTTCTAAAAAATCCTACCCATAATGTCTTTTGAAAACACAGTAAGGAGAATCTCACAGAGAGCCTCTTCAAAAGGCAAGGATATTTTCTTCACACTGACTAGAGATCAAGATAGCATTTTGTGTGTGAATGAAGTTTAAAGGCAACTGCAAGGAATTCAAAAGCAGCACAGAATTCTTATCACAGTGACAATAACAATCTAAATTTTTGATCATGAGGCAAGAATAATACTTTAAAAAATAAACAGAGTAAAAATGCAAGCATAACAATTTTGGTTCATGGGATAATACATGCCACATTTCTATCAGACAGAAGTGAACTCTAATAAACTTTGATTTCTATTTTTCTTCATGTTCAATCTGACATATTCCATACTGGCTTTCACATATCAAAGTATTTTGTTAAAAAAATATAGGGATGGTAATTCAAGGTGATTTTTAAGTCATTCTATTAAAGTAGTTGTTAAAAGCAAAAGAAAGTGTGAGTTACTGCAAACTTTAAATCGTGCAATAGTTTTTATACCAAGATTATTACCTATGATTCAACACATTTCCTTCGATCTTCTTTGCTTCCCACTCAAGCTTTGCACCAAGAGGGTTTGGATTTACAATATGAATGTTCCCATTATTATTAGCATTTTGAAGAAATTGTTATATTTCAGCAAAACATTAGTGTCTGGGTGCTTGGAAACTGGCTTGGTAGTTAAATAATCTCTAGCTCAGTCAGAACTCTGGCTGGCTAGACATTCTCATTGCGAATGGAGTTATTCCACTACCAGCTGTCACCAAGATAACAAAATGAGCAAGAAAGGAACCATAATTGAAAAAACGTCAAAACATACAATGATGTCACTTCACCCACAGAAGGGCATAGCCATCCTGAGCTTTAATAAAAGTGCAAAGACTGCAGCAGCTAGTGACTGACTCATAATGATCAGTTATTTATTAACCAAAGGGCAAATATCTTTGCATATTCTAAGCTTGGACCCTCTCCTCACTCCTCCAAAAAGAAGGTAAATGGAGGGTGAAAACAAAACAAAACAAAATCTCTCTTGCTTCTTGACAGCTCCTGCTACTTTCCAAGATTCAGAGAATCCATCTTCTTTCTATGTTTACACATTGACTTCTACTTAGCAATCAATGGTAGTTTGACAGCTGCACTATTTTACTCTTGAATGGGATTTGAAACCCCAATATTCCCTAGAAAATAATTTCAAGAGGCAAAGACAAGTAGGGAAATACTGACAATCAAGTGAAGCTATGAGACGTTTGACTCCAAGTAAACTTGCTGGCTTGAGGAAAATGAAGGAAGAGCTGGAGGCACAGCTTAAGGGAAGAGCTGAAAGTCAAAAAGCGTATTCTATATAACTTTTTTTTTCCTAATGGAAAATATGACCTTAGAAACTACTGGAATATGCTGAATGACATTTTCAAAAAGTTAATACACAGAGAATTTAGACATAACTGTATACTAGAGGATGCTACAGAACTCCTGCTCTCCAGAGTACGATTACTATAAATACCACAGTAATGTTGTGGACATACAAAAACTTCTATAGATACTATCTAATGATCTAAAATTGCACAAAATTACCTTGAAGCAGTTGCATCATTAACTTGTGCTAAGTAAACAGGAAGTTTTACAATAAGAAAAAGCCAAAGCAGATTTCACAACTAGATAATGCCTAAACCTGTAGTCTAATCTTTGGACAGCTGCATGTTCATTGCTTTATAGTGGCTTGTAATAGGAGGCAGTTTCAAGAGATAGGCAAGAATTATCTAATCTCATTTAAGTATTAAGTATTTAATTTAATAGGAAAAATTAAATTCAGGAAATTACTTAGATCTATTTTCTCTTGGATATGAGCTAAAATTATTCATCTTTCTCCACAAAGGCCATTGCTAACTTATTAGCCTTTTAAATCGCATAATAAAGGAGACACCTCCCTTTTTTGCTTCTGAAAATGAGAATTACAATGAGATAGGGTCAAATTTCAGGATTAGGGAATATGTGGAGAAACAAATAAAGTTGAATTCCTTTTCTATGCCCTTTTCCCAGGATTTAAAAATATTCACTTGTAAACTTGTGGGAGTCCTTTGAACTGCTGCAGACACTATGGAAAAGCAATATTATGAGGTAAACATGCAATATACAAACCTGCCAAGATGACATAAGCGAAATTCTATCATTTAACACCATTATTTGTCACTGGACATTATAACTCCCCACCTCCCCTCCTTCTCTCCTCCATTTGCAATTAAACCCTCTTAGCCCTCAAGATGATTTAGTTTCTGAAAATGACTCTAGGAATAGCTCCAGCTAATTGTTAGTACAGCATTCCCTTATTATCAGGTAAGCACCTGCAAGGAATATGAATTTAGAACCAAAATGAGCAAGAAATTACAGAAATCAGTATGGAAAAGCTCAATTCTACTGTATCTAAGGTTTCTATATTAGCAGTCACCTCCCAAAAGTCTGTTCAAAACATTGATGATAAACACAGTAATGGATTTAGTTCAGATATTTTGCTGACTCACAGTTCCAGAAATATCAAATGAGCTGTGAACAGATCTAACTAATCAAAGTTACTTTGGATTCAATCATAGCGACAGACCATGCCCGCAGTAAGGACGTGCGCACCATCACCTGCTCCCCAACAGCTTGCCTGAAGAACAGCATTTCTCAAACTGTGGAACTAAATTCTCTAGGGAGATACGGATTTTTCTAAGGGAAAGGCAGGAGAGAGCAGAAAGTTAGATCCTCCGGTTTTTCTTTCAGTCTTGGTGGTTTGTTTATTTGATGCAGAAACAGAATCCCAAATTCAGCACTGGCTGAAAACAGCCAGCAAAAAACTTGGTTTCTCCAGCTAATCCGAAGCAGCCAAAGAACCAAACAGACTAAAGCTATTTTGAAATTAATCTTTTTATTTAGAAATTTATTATTAGCTGAAGCTCTCCTTTCCTCCTGTCTCTGGATATTTTTCCCTGTGTATCTTACGCAGGGAGAGGGCATGGTAAAGTTTGAGAAACCCTGCAGCAAAATTAGACACCATGGCATTCAGTGTAGCAAAGGCTGTTTCAAATTTTATGCTCTAAACTACTGATACTTAGGCAGAAAATTAGTATTGCAGAGAGCTATGTAATTAAACACACTCTTGGTTTTCATATACCAGGTAATATTTAGGCTTACGTGCAATCCTTAGTCGAAAGAGGTGACTGGAACCGTGGCATTTTATTTCTTGGGACAGTGTCTGATCTGTGCAACCTTGAATAATAATTGTAATCTCTTAAGTGAGCATCCTTATAAATAAAGGGAATGTAACTTAGAGAGCTGTCATTTTTGCTGCATAGCTAGATAGTTATTCTACAAGTAGATGCCTACTTGTCAGCCTCCATTTTTTTAAAAGCAATTGAAAATTACTGTATTAAATGAACTCTCAACAAATTCTCAGAGCAGCCACTGCATGAAACTACACACAAAGAGAAAAAACACCCAAAAAACAACTATCTGTACCACATGAAGAACACAGTAATAAGAAGCAAAGCCAACTCTTTTGCTTCAGTCTGACAAGCTTTTCCAGAATGTTTAATTGTGTCACTTTCGTAGGTCAGGCATTGAAGTTTTACATGGGACATCTGAACATTTTGTCAGTGGAGGACAATAGTGTCCTCGACTTTAGAGAGCAGAAGTTCTGAAGGACAACGCTCAATACACACTTCCAATGGGGCCCTTTCTATTGGGGACCGAGTAGACTATCATGTCCATCAACAAGACTAGACAGAGTTGAATCCAGGAAGTTAAGAGAAATAAACATTAAACAGGAATAAACATTAGACAGGAATTAAATTTTTGAAGTAACTTGAAATTAAGCTGTAAAATTATGCTGCAAATAGCTGGACTATTTGAAGATGTGAACCCAACTTGCACAAACACAGGAGTAATAAGCTGACTTTTGTCAAGTCAGATGGCAACTGTAACGCATTTTACCGTATAAGTAAAATATTTCAAACATTAAGTGAGCTTAAAGACAAGTCAGTTTTGATAAAGCAGCAATATCTCATGACAATAATTACAGCAAAGATGTTTTTTCAGTCAATAACACTGGAAATCAAAACTTTATAAACAGCTGGTTTCTTGCAGTTTTTTTTGATTTTTTTAAGTTAGTTCTAGAGGGTAAGAAAATTACGTGATATAACTGAGACATAACTTGTGTAGAACTAAATATTCTGTAACGAATACATTCATGGTAGAATTTACCTATTTAAATGGTCTAATTTATGAATAAGGGAATTAAACTTACAAGAAATGTATCACATTAACTCTGCACCACTAACAGCTTGTCTATCAGTTTGTGATAACCAGAACCATTTGAGGTAGCATAATTTACACCAAATTGGTGTGTTTGCTTTTACTATTTTGAACCATGAAATAGCACTTCTACATGGGTCTCTTCTCTGAGGTGGGCAGTGAAATGCCTCACTTCTGAGGCACAGTGAAATGCCACGGTACTAATTTTGTTTGTACAATTGTGACTTAAAATTTTACTCAGATGGTGCTAGCAATTTTTTTTTGCAGTTTACCACATATTTTCTGTGGGCTTAAATTGTGAAGAAATGGAAACAAAGCAATACCTTTTCATCAAGTAGTAAAGGTTTGTATGGCTCACACAAACACAAGAAAGCCAAGTTCCACCTTGAACGTGATTTCATAAGATAAATTCACAAAGCATTCTTCCAGTTCAGTTATATTCCTTACCTGGAGACTATCAAAACCTGGATGAGCCAGATATGTCAAACTCAGCATCACTAAAATGCCACAGCACATGCAAGAATTGTGCGTTTTTTGCAGTAGATAATGAGTGAAAAGGAGAAGCAAGAATGACAGAAAAAGATCCACAGTAATTTATAGAAATTACAGTGATTTCAAAGAAAATAAATGAAACGATATTTGACAGGGCAAGGGGCATAGGAAATTCTATTAAAATACATGTAGTTGAGCACGCATAAGTGCAAGATAGGTCCTTCTGCACTGTCAGTAGAACGCAGCTACAACAAGCTCAGTGCTAGCAAATTGTTAGGGTTTGTGGAAACAAATCACGAGTGATTTTGGACCAAACTCAACAGAAATATTCTGAAAACAGAAAAGTTGCACATAAAGAAAATATTTTGCAATCATTCAAATCAATTTCCTTGCTAAAGCAAAGGTAGCAATAAGGACCAACTTCACAGAAAACCCTTTCTGCCGTGAAATCACTGAAAGCACTACGATGCTTACAGCATTGACATCAAAGGATTGCCAGCTGGGAAAGGACTGGGCATCCTTATGTGTATTTCCTATCTCTGCTTCTGAAAATGAGGCCACAACTACTGCCCTGAGAACCACAAGGATGCTGCCTTGTTTACATACCCATATGCGATAGTTCTGATAACAACAACTCTGATGTTATTTATTTGATACAGATATTCACATGTATCAGAAACTGTTGTGACAGCTTCTTTCAAGTACAAATGCAAATAAATAGCTATCTTTTTTTTTTCCCCAAAACCATTCATTAATCTAAAAATGTATATATTTTTCTAAAATACACTGATAATGGAAACTAACCAACAGTTGATCTTCCATTTATTTAACAGATGTTATGCAAGCATATGCTATGCAAGCACTGTGAGACCAAAAAACTGATGTCCAGATGTGTCAGTTTTCTGGGGTTTGGAGTATGAGAAATGTGTATGAGTCTTGCATCCTACCAGCTGCACACTCCAATGATCACATCCTTTTTTAAGTTAAAGGATTCCAGGCTCCTCCTGCATTGCTAAACCTCTTTGAAGGACTGCAAGTAGATTAAGTAATTCTGATAGCAAAAAAATATATAGTTTTAAACCAATAAATCCCCATATAGTTACAGGGTCACAGCAAAACATACAGAAGAGTTTTTTTTCCATTTTCGGATTTTGCCAATTTAGAATTTTTAGCATTCCAGAAGTCCATACATATGTAAGAAATGCCTCACAGCTGGATAAATACAGTCAGGGCTGGTCTTACCAATTTCTCTCATAGTCAGCTAGACAGATACTGCCCACAACTTCCAGAAAATTACACAAACCTGGGGAGCAGGTGATTTCAAAAATCTGCAAGAATTCATATTCCAACTGCTCCTCCTACAAGTGCAAAAACACATCAAAAATGAGGTTGCCAGTTACCAGCTCTACTTTGCTAAAGGGGTCAACTGACTGCCAAGCAGCTTCCACCATGGTGAGATCACCTATTTCAGCAGGTATCAAATGCAGATTATCAAACAGGCATCTGAAGGCCGCTCCTGCAGGGCAATTCTACTGCATCTGGTCCAACATCCTGTAACTGGATGTCTGATGCCAAACGGGCCGTGGGCACTTAGTAGGTGACCAAAACATTTGCACACTGAGCTGATCAGGAGCTTATCAACGAGTGTGTTTTGGACAACTCAGTGAATATATATGACTCAGTAGGCTTCAGTACCTAGAGATGTGTGATCTACAAGCTTGTGTGAACCAAAGAAATAACAAATAAGAAGAGGATGTTATACAGAGTGGTATTAATTTCACCCATTTTAGAAAATGAATTCACAGTTGGACCACATGTATGTCGCACATGTAGACCCTCCCGGTGCTCCTACTATAAACAGAAGAAAACAGGCATTTCTAGGACATAGCACATTTGATCTATTTTAGACTAAAAATAGGTAGACCCAAGTAGGTCAGATGAAATGCACTAATTTTCTTTTATTATTGAAAATGAAGTTTAGGATGATTAGCTCAATACACATGTCTGTTACAGAGTCTACATTTGGACAGGTGACCCCTCTTCTTAGGTCTTATATCTAACGTGTTAACTGGGGACAGTTTTGTGTCATTTCTTTATGGTAGCTGCATGAGAAATCATTTTGATCAATAAATATATCAAGTTCTATATTTCAAAAACAGACATATATATCTCCAGAAAGCACCATCAGAATTACCAGCTCAAATGGTATCAACAGATGAAGCTTCTGATTCAAACCAGTACTTGTCATTTTGGTCTCCGAAGCTTAAGATTACAATTAAACTGTATAGATATCAAATAAAAATAAAAATGACTCATTGCAATATTTATGGGACAGATATTCTCCTTTGTTATTATATAATGTTCACTTTCATAGGCAGCAACAGGAATGTTTCTGATGCACAAACAACTCAACTTCTTTGAACAAACAATCTGAAAACTTTGAGGAAAAAAAGATATGCCAGATAAGAAATTGAAAATCTCATTCACAGGCTGACAGATACATGAAAAAGCAATTGACCTGAAGTAACAACTTAAGGTAACTGGCAAAAAACATCAAGTCACCAAAACACCCACCACAAACACTCCCACCCATCAACTGTAGAAAAATCACTTCACAAATGAGTCACCTAAGAAAGAGTAAAAATTAAGAAAAACAGTAGCCTTGTAACATTTAAAACGATGTAATTGCCTCAACATGCAAAACATTACTTAGAAAAGGCAGTGTGAGGAAGAAATACCTAACAAGTGTAGCTGTGCCCCTGCACCCCATTGCTCTACTCACATGGAATCATTTCGGGCCAGCTGGCCGTTCTGCCGGGCAGCATTTTCACTCATGGAGCGCTCTCGCTTCAGCCTTCCCACCGAGCGGGCCTGGGGGAAAGGGGAAAGGGAGGGACATAAAGGCAGGGAATTCCGGAAGAGTCTTAGGAGTTTTGCACTCCTAGGAGTGGATAAGCTTGTCAGCCCTCAGATACAAATGCATGTTTTTATGGGTTTCATAGTGATTAGGAAGAAACATCTCATGACAGGATCCAATACTGATACATTAAAAAATAAATAGATATATAAATAAAACCAAGCTCCAAACTTGTTGCAGTCCTGCCCTCATTTATCCATATGATCTGGTACCAAAATGTATAATCAAACAGAATTTTCATAGTGTAAGAAAGCAATCCATTATGCTTAATGTTACTAATATATTCCTATTGTTTTATGACCCTACAGAGTATGCAACTTCATAAATATTATTCAGCTTGTAAAATATCAGTCACATATCATCTATGTTATACCATTCCCTGAAACAGGTATTCATAGTTTTGTTAAAAGAAAATTCACTGTTTCTATTTGCTATTATATCATACGGCAATGAGTTCCAAAAGTTAACTATACGTGCCAGAAGAATCTGGCTGCTTTTCTGCTTTCTGATAACCTGCAAATTAAAAAATCATGCTATTTTCTCTATAGTCAAAAGGATATTTTTTGTTAAAGTATTTTGAATGGTTCCAAGTATGCTTATACTTTTTCTGGAGGCACTGTGTAAGCTTATTGAGCGTGCAAACTCCCAACCATCTATCGGGCAAGATAAATATAGAACTTAAGAGTCATTATTAGGACCAATAAAGTGCCTATAAAAATATTTTTATATCTTCCCATCTTATTATCAAGTAGACTAGGACCATAGTGGCAATACCATTGGTCATTCCACTTCTTTAACGGATTGTTCTCAACTAGGTAAAAAGCAAAATAAGTACTAGCCTCTTCATTTTGAGGTGTCTGCTGCGGGGGTCTTTCCAAGTCCAAAAAATCTAGTGGTCGATCACTAAGAGAAATAACACGAGGAGGAGTTTTCAATGCCAGTGGTTTGAATGGAGTAGACTGAAGAAGGTCAAGGTCTGGTGGTCTGGAAAATGGAATGTCTTCACTGTTACCTGGAAGGACAATGGATGCCAATAGAAAACAAGTTGGTTTGAGGCCTTAGGGGCTAATGTCAAAGTTCAAAAACAGAGTGATATCTCATTAGTTACCCAAATAACTAGATATTCCTTTCTCTCACATAGTTTGTACATTAAAAACTATGTCTAAAGCTCTTATTAATAATTATAATAATTCACTCTTGTTTGAGCAGTATCTCTGAAAAAATAATACTGAATAACCCTGAGCATTTATTGTTAGTGTTGTTAGACCATTTTTATCTCAAGAGATAGTCCTATTAAAGCTCTGTTTGTTTACAGAGGTCGTGATTGGTGAGTTTGAAAATTTTCCCTCTCTCGAAGTATAAAATATGCACATATCACAACTTTTACAAATTGGAAGGCCTTCAGCTGGTCTAGATCCCCCATTGTAAAGCCCATTACCTAAACAATTGTCAATACAATCCAGCCAACAATAGACAGACAATAAACATAATTAGTACTCTGATTATAATCAAATACCTTCTGAATAGCAGCAAATGGCTAAGATACATCACACCCCCAAAACTTGTTAGAATTACCTTAGCCTATATTATTAGGAAAACATTTATTATGAAAAATAGTTGCAAATCAATAAATATTAAATACAGAAATGTTTTAGTAAAATGAAAAGTCAGTGACTAAGCTTTCTGTTCATAGTTCACTCATTAACTGTCTACACTGCAAGTAACCTCAAACCTATTCAAGAAGTATTTTCAGTTTTTCAGGAACTTCATAGATTAAAGTTGATAAAAATTTCCATTTGGCACCTTACAGACTTTTCCTTTAGGAATACCTCGACATACATTTTTGCACTCCTAGACATTTTTAAGAACTAATTCAAGTTTTTGCCTATATTTGCCTATATTCTGCCGAGCAGCATTTTCACTCATGGAGTGCTCTCGCTTCAGCCTTCCCACAGAGCAGGCCTATGGGAAAGGGGAAAAGGAGGCTTTGTATCAAGATCAACAAACCTACCTGCCACTACAATCCGCTCTGGCACCTGCATAGTTACACTGGCATTTGGAAATCCTTCTTGGACACCCTTCTCAAGGTCGGCATTTGGAGGAGCTACTTTGAGTTTCTCTGGGACCCTCATGCGCTGACTGATTCCTTCGGTGTATTCCATCTCATACTGAAGGCGATTAATTTCTGCCATCTCGGCAGCAGGAGATGGAAATGCAGCCCCACGCATTCTGGAAAAAAAATGAAGATAAATAAGCTGTAGTGGCTATACATAAAAACTCACAGCAGCACCCAGAGGAAATTCATTCTTCGGATTGCTAGGCAAGTGTTAGACCATCCTAAATTCTGGATCCAACCAAGGAAAAATCAGCCTCTGCGATGTCTGTGCTAAGTCTGCAATCATGATATACTGGGAAGATTTTTCATGATCAAAAAAAACGAAACAGTATTGTATATTTATTTTGCACATTGAATACAGATAAGCCAGTCGACCCTTGATTTGTTGGCATATAACTATACTGATACTGAGCTATTGATAGGCTTCTCAACATCACAGAGAAGCAACACTTTTCGTCTTTATCAGTCAGATCTGATTATTAAAGTAGCAGTAATCTTGACACATCAGAAAGAAGCATACAGAAAGATGTGGATTGTATATGATTATATTAAATGAACATGTTTGGCAGATTTGAGATGTGATTCACTTGGGAATCCATCCAGGGACCCTGAGTGCTATTTTCAGACCTTCTCTATCACGGCAGCTCAAAGGAAAGACCTTTGATCCCTGGAAGCCTCACTCAGCCCCACACACTAGGAGAGCTGGCACGCAGGACAAGGCAGAGTGGTCTCTGTTCCACGTGAGCCTTAAAAAAAAAAAAAAAAAAAGACCATAAGGGAAAATACCTGTAATGATGAAAAGACTTAATCGATATGTATTAACTCTTATTGCTTGCATTTCTCAAGTTAAGGAATCCATACAATTAAAAATAAACGCTTGAAAATATATTTATGTGGCTTGTAGAAATGCAAGAGGTGCTTGATCAGCTCTGCCGCTTCAAAGCGCTTGTCCTTCAGTGTTGCAAGCCAGAATTGCCCTCTTTTGAAACACAAGCTAGATCAGCCAAAGCCATGAACAAAGCACAGAGATCTCTAAGATTTTCACATCTCTGAAGGTGTTTTCCATTTCAAACCAGAGTCTACAATCAGCAAAACATTCTGAGACATACAGAAGTACAATACTCATACAATACAGTACTCCTACAATATGTCAATTAAAAGATTGAGTTTTAAGAACTTAAAATATCAAGAACATCTATTGGCAGTAGTTTATCACTGCTCATAAGACTTGACTACGTGCCTTTCACTCCTCATTTTGAAATATCTGCACAGCTCTATTTTTTTTTTGCAATTCAGTATCACTACACTGCAGCACCACTTACTTTACACCACAGCTTCCCTGAAGTTTGGCATTGCTTCTGTACCTAAGACTACACAACAGGGGCTTTGCAACTATAAAACACAACACACACACACACAGAAAGACAGCATTAGAACAATCGCTTCATAAACTATTTCTATTGTAAATATCATAGTGTGGGTCTAGCTGCACCTGTGAAGCACCTGCAACTACAATACCTCAGTATCTTCCTACTGTGCCTACTGCTTGGCATTCAGAATTGTAATTTCTAGCAAATTGATTTTATTTAGACCTCTGACAAGAGCAAAACAAAAAGCATTGAATTTCAGCAAAATAAAATTTATAATATTTAAACAGAGCTTGTTAATATAAAGCCCAACTGTTTAAAGAGACCAGGATTCAAAGTCACATTGTTTGCTGTTATATCCTTCTTAGGCAAACCATACTTACAGAAGACATTAATAATAAATCAGGGAGGAAAGAACATTTAATGAGTGATGTTTAAGGAATTAAGTTCTCAAGAGACATGAGACTAACAACAAAAACAAGGTATGAGAGTGATGAGACAATAAAAATAGGCACACAAATACAAGAGACATAAAGGATGTCTCTTGCAGCTGGAGCACAGACACGTGTTGGAGGTTTATAAGCAGGAAGAGGGGATAAAAAAGACTTGAGGGGAGGATGAGAGAGGGGAAGTTATGAGGTGAGTTATATGCAATCAAAAAAGCCACGCGGGCATCTCCTCGCCTCCCTCCCGTGAACAGGCGCTGTCCTGGAGCAGACGAGGCCGCAGCGCAGCACGTGGGGCTATGGATGCCCTCCCGGCAGCCGCGCGCACCGCGACCCCGCGACGCTGGTGCTCGGGGTGAGCCCGGCAGGACAGCGGCAGCGCCGAGGCCAGCGCAGGGGGGCACCTGCGCC